ACAGAGATGGAAAACCATAGCAAGCTTTGTTTCCCAAAGGTTAAGCTGAGCAATTTACTTGGTTCTTCATCAGAGTCTAAACTTACTGTTATGATTTCTCTTTTGTTTGGTTGATACTAATTATCTGCTGTCTCGTCTACTTCTGAAGAACTCCAAGCATGCACACATCTCGGTCAGCAAGCATGGGGCAAGAAACAGCCAAACTCAGCCCTTTAATCTCCACACCGAGGTAGTCTCATTGATTAGTTCACAGTAAAATCATTAGGGTGGTTAAGATTAATCTCTACATTAATGTTAATCTCAGTGATTAAGAGTGTTTTTTTTCCTTAAAAAAATAAAAAGAAATTCTCAAGGATCGGTAAACGTTCTTCGATTCCTCTGCTCCTCTTGAAGCTTTCAAGCGATTGAATGATCTTCATCATGAGCATTTATTTTGAACAACATCAAAAAGTTATTGTTTTTTATGATGATTTGTATGTTAAATATCAGTGCCAATATACTTGGAAACACATTGTTTTCCTGTGTGTTCCTAAAACATGAAAAGAGAGTGAGACAGTAAAAAAAGGGATTTTGTTTGGTAGAAAGAAGCATGTCGAGATTATTTGAAGATATTAATCTTCTTTAATTGTTTGCTATCATTCTCCATATAAAATGAGAGGAACCATGTAAAGTGTTGAGCTTAGTTCATAGTCTCATGTAGTCTTATTGCAGAAAGAACTTAATCTAATGCATCTTGTTCTCCACATTAGCAACGAGGACAGAAGAAGGAACGGGCATTTGTGAAGAGAGTGCAAGAAATGGCTGCTGAAGAAGCCAAGCGCCGGATTCCTGTTGCACAAGGATTGCCATGGACAACAGACAAACCTCAGGTATCCTCCCTCCAGAGATCATCTCTGTGCTATTCTTGAAGAAATCTATGGTGACACACTGTTTGATCTACAGAGTCTATCAAAACCTCCAGTAAAGGAGCAGACAAAGCCTATTAATATCAAGCTTCATACCGAGCAAAGAGCAGCTCGGCGTGCTGGATATAATTATCTGGTAAATCCTTTTCCACTCCATCAAGAATTCTGAAGAAAACATGCAGTATAGTTGGCTTAGTTCTTCTCTGAGATCTTCTGACCGGTTAGAACACAAGTTGTGTGCAGGTTGCAAGCAAGATTAATTCCTTGGAGATCCTTCGCAGGTTTGAAGAGAAAATTATGAAGGTATATAATCTGCAAAATTGGAGATCATGTTTTAAATACTGGCTTGATACTGGTTTCGATAATCTATACTGAGCCGTACACCGAATTGCACCACTCAGTATTACCAAAAAATGAAAAGAAAATAAAATGATATATCCGAGTGCTACCAAGCTTAGTATTTGTATTTTGAATCATGGTTGTGCTATTGGAGTAATGAGAATTTGCAGGTTATTGAACAAGAGGAGATTAAAAATATGAGGAAGGAGATGGTGCCGAAAGCTCAATTGATGCCCTTTTTCGACAGGCCATTCTTTCCACAAAGGTAATGACAAAAGGAATGAATTTATGCATGATGTAGTCCTTATGTCCGAGAAATGAGTATCTAAATGTAATCTTGCTACGATTGCTAGTATGAATACATACATCTGCAATCATAGCTTCTGCAAACAATTTCAATTTTCCTTCTCTAGTGAGGGGAAAACAACCGTTTGCCGCTTGTAACACCTGATTAAGAGTTACTGAAGGCAACTATTCCAGAATGTTCTCATCTAGAATATGAAATATGCTTCAAAAACTTAATGGAGATTAAACTATTCTGCTGTTGGCGATCCAGAAAGACTTTCAGAATTGCTTTCAAGTTCTTCATATATATCTTACAGTCTAAGATAGATTGCAAAGGATTGAGCTGAGATTTGTTCAGATTAGTCTATTCTGCTGTCGATAATCAATAATGAATTTCATAATTATCTTCAAAAACTTCAATTCTTTAACAATCTAAGACAGATTGCAAAGAATTGAGCCAAGATATAATCTGTAAGATCAATATGTTTCCGGTTTACTATTATCAGAATTTTTTACTTGTATGAGTTTCTGAACATGCAAGGAAGAAAACCACTGATGAAAGCGATTTTGTTGATTGACTTGATTACTTATTTCTAGCTTATATTTGCACTTGGCAGGTCAACAAGACCTCTAACAGTCCCGAGGGAGCCTTGTTTTCATCTTATAAAGCAAAAATGCAGCATCAGTGACCAACCTTACAAGTTTCACAAGTACTTCAACCACAGTATGAAGTCTGTCAAGTAATTGTTGGGATGAGTTCACTAATCTTATTAAATATGTAATGTACAAAGTTTACGTAACTTTTCCTTCGATTATGGAGTCGAAAGAAGAGCATATATCATTCCAAGCAAAAAGTGTTCAAGGAAATGTAGTAGACCACTTCTCGGTCTTGTGATTTCATTTACATGAACAATCGACTTATATATTTCGCCTAATCTGCGAAAGATTATTTTTCAGAAACAAGGATCTTGCAAATGCGAAAAAGTGCAAGCAATATTTAGAGCTCAGATAGCTCGATCCAATGTTTTGAAACAACTTAATTTCTCATGATATCTAAGTTGCTTAAGCAATTTCCAAGAAGAAGTTCTCCATTTCCTTTTATCAGATTACATATTTTATCATTTTCTTATTTCTTTACAACTTTTTCATTTCAAACTCTACATTTTTGCTATGTTACAGTTTTAAACTCCCCTTACTCCAAGGAACATCTAGCTATGTTTCTCTGAATGATTAGGTTTAAAGATCAGATGTAATAGTTCTGAAGAACTCCTCATAGGGAGAGATGTCTTTTATTCAAAAAAAAAAACAAAAGGATGGCCGAAAGTATAATCTCCCAAAATATAGTTTCCAAACGTAAATTCTCTCCGTTTCTATGGTTTCACCAAAATGTGCTTCTTTTCTAGTCAAAAAAACCTTTTCCCTCATTGTATAGACATCAAAACATCAAACTACAAATGCAAACATCTTAACGTCCCAATTTTTTGGGATTGATAAGGACCACGGTACCCATACCAGAGGGGTACCATCCATGAGTCCGATATAGAGTTGATTCGATACCACTGGCTACAAAACAGTATCGGCTCTGTGCAAAGCAATTTCTTTTTTTTTTTTTTTTTTCAAAGCTTAGCATATACCGGTGTTACGGAGTGTCAATACACCAGCATGACTGATACATGAAACTACTAATATTGGCCAGTATTAATCATTTATTCCTTTTGAACATGGCTAAGGAATTCCATCAGTACATGGAATCTTCAATGAGTTCATGACTTCATATCCTGAAGCAAATGGCAAGATCATTTGGACTTCTTTGCCTTGACAGGGCCTCTTGGGATCTTGCCAAGAATCCTGGAGTCTAACTTGTGGTAGAATCTCTTCAGATCTTCACTCCCTCTCATTGCTAGATGATCGACTTCATCCTCGTACTGCTCATACAAAGCCGGCAGCGCAAGAACGCACAGAAGACCTGCACATATCGATGCCCACACTGTTAAGAGATCGGCTTCTCATCGTTGTAGGATCAGGGCACCGATTACCAAGATAAGCCAGTGTCAAAGAGCTGCAGTAGCTTCCAATTACAGATACAACCCAAAGTGAAGCAATCGCCTGAGGAAGAAGAAGAACATGAGCATGTCGCATTGAGCAGAGCGGAGTGAAGAGTTCACGTACCGAGAGAAATAGCTTGAGATCTTTGCCATCTGCAATGCCAAGGAGGATGGAAGTGAGTCGACTCAGTTTGGCGTGCAAGAAGAAAGCGAGTCCTCTGATGGCTTCCTCTGATAGAACGAGTTCGGGCATCCTCCGAGCATCTCTGCAACACGATGATGAGACCGACCACCGACTGCTTGAGCGAGAAGAAGAAGTAACAGAAGACAGACTACCACTTCAACGAGACGAGATTACCGATGCACAAGAGCTTCAAGATTAGACCAGATGAAGAGCACAAGCATGGCCACGATGGAGATGTGGCACATCAGCGGGAGGAAATGGTACTCCAGCACCTCGAAGAGGAACCATACGAAGGTGGCGCCGGCGACGATTCCTGCCGATAAGTGCCTGTTCCTCCACAGCAAGACGTCAGCAACTACGAGACCATGGATTTGCTTTAGATTAGCAATGCAATGCAATGCAATGCAGCATCGATATCGATCCAGAGACACACGATGCACACCTTTTCCTCCACCCAGGCGATCATGGAGGGGCCTCCGGCGGTGGAAGTGGCTTCCGGTGGCGGGCTTTGGCTGCTCGTCGGAAGCAGAATCGAACTTGATTCGCGGCATGGCTGGCTGCCGGACATGGTGTGATGTGTGTCCTTATCAAGAACTTTTGTGGATTCTAATCTTGCCGCCAAAGAGATTGGAAAGGCGAATCAAGGAATAGATTTCGAGGTAAGATGTGTGGAAGTCAGGAGAAGCAAGCATGCATTGCTTCTTCCACGGGAACAGCATCTGCATCGACTTCTCTTGCCCGAGAGCACAAGAAACCAAGGTGGGAATTGGATTCCGCTTGGCCTATGTTGTGCACATATATCGTTCAGAATCCATGACAAGTCTTTTTGAGTTCTTGTGTGTGGGTGGGCATAGAATGGAGGATTTTATTGAACTGCTAATCACACAAAATGACATTAATATCAAGATTTGGAATACCACCTGTTGTGATGGGGGAAGACAGCTCCATGAACTTGTTCCAACCCTATAACACAAGTATAGGAAATATTCTCAATCTTGGATCTCTATCAGGTAATGAAATCTGGATCAGTACATTAAGAGTATCCACAAAATGGCAAGCTTAAATCTAAATAAAAACTTCATGGATCCTCATTTGACAATCATATGCTTATCAGGTTTAGAAATTGGAATCTAAATTGATCCAACATGATAAAACCCTAATTTTAGAAGTTTTCCGTATATGACATCCACAGCGGAAAATTATAAGCACTAACATTTCCAGCAACATCAAAGCAAGAAGAAATAGAAGTTCACCAAAGTCAAACACATTTTCTAATTTTAGATAATCCATGAAACTTCGGAGCCCAACAGATTTAGCCACAATGAAAATTAACTACCTTTCCTAATTGAGATATATAATCATTCTCAGCAAAACATCCAACGGCGGTGCACGCGCACACACACCTCACACACACCAAGGAAGCATTAAATTCGTGGTTCGTCAGACCCCCTCAACCACAAGCTGGAACCAAGAGAGCAAGCAATGCTTGATCCAAGGACCTTCTCATATGCTCGCAGATGTTTCTGTTTTTGCTTCTGAAGAGGCTTCACCGGTTGTCTGCACGTCTCCGGTCTTCTGCACATTCTCAGTTTTCTCTGCTTGCCCTGCTGAACACAAAAAATCAGCACCAGGTCAGAAATAAGGAATCTACATGATTAACATAGCAACTGAGATTTTTTAAGGTCGACATCGGTTGAAAATAATTGAATCTGCAACATAGCCAATATTAAACAAGTTTGGCTGATTTACAATAATCGCCTCCATTAATGAATTGTTGGAAGCTCTTTCTTACACGATGGTCTTTTTGAGAGGAGAAGCAGGGAGGATGGTCTTTTTGAGAGGAGAAGCAGGGAGAATAGAACTGGAACGACGTGAAGTGGAATATCTCATTTAAGTCTGACAAGTACACAATTGGATGCAGAAAAATTGGAAGAAACCAATTCTCTCTGGGATCTTATTTTGCTTGTTCTTTGAAACTGCAGAGATTTGGAGAAGTGTTGAGAACCAGGTCATCCTTTTTTTTTTCTTAATTGCCTAAAATTTCTCTTCTCTACATGTAACAAACCAAAAAAGAGAGAAGATTGTGTTTCCCGTCTTCTCTTGCACCCAAACAATAGATGGATGCCCCATAGATCCAGGGAGTACAGGGTGATGAACGAGTACTCTAAACAGGTTACATAAGAATTTGGTGTACAGGGTTTCATTTGGAGTTCATTTGTGAGCATATGTGCCCATAACGATTCCATTATGGGAAGTAATATAAGAATTTAAATAATATATACAACATTAGGACTACTACATATTAGATGTTTAAAGCTAAGAATTACCAAAAAAAGCATGTTCAGTTGGTTAAACAGGAGGCTTTAAGATTTTTTTTCTTTTTACCTTCATCATCACTATCTTCAAAATCGTCATCCATGGCATCACCCCCCATATTACCAAAATTCTGTAGAAGAAATGTATATATAAGAAACCATAATTCAACAGAACAAAAAATTAGTAGGAAAAAGTTTGTATTAGAATAGTCAATACCGAGAAATCCATCCCTCCCAAGTCCAAATCACCAGGACCTGATAATGTGAAAATAACAGATCTTAATCCTCTCAAATGATATACAAAATGCAAAATTCTGCAGCAAATTAAATTTAACCAAAATATGACCACCAATCAATATGCAAATGATCAAATTTGATCTATAGTATTGAAGTAACTGAATCATATCCTGCTTTTCGTTCTCCAAGCATGCATGTCTAAAGGATAATTGCTCATTCTCATTCTTAAGCTGATTAATCAGCAATGCTGAAGAATTGGACGGTTGTTTAGCTCTTCAGACAAACAATTTTTAAAAGATGCAAATCCAACAAAATTTGATTGTTGTTATGACAAAAAGTATGCTAACACAACAATCCATTCCTTCCTGGTGCCTTTGATACAGAGAAAGACCCTAATGATGGATGATCATCAGTTTACTTAGAACTCCAAATTTTCAAAGGTAATGTACATTTCAGAAGTATCACAGTATGAAACGTAATACAAAATTCATGACTTGCCTAGTCAAGGCTCACAAACACTGTCAGAAAGCCTTGGGTCAAGGCATTAAGTAAGCATTCTCAGTAATGTTAGAGAATGCATGTACTAGTAATAGAAACTCTAGCTGGGTTTTCACATTGACAGCAGGCAAATTGTCTAGAGCATGGCCTTTGATTATAATATGAAAAATGTTACTTCGGTTCAAGTTTTTCATGACAACATTTACACATCTGGTTATAGTTAGTAATAAGTGGATTCAGATACCGATCGAACAATATTATCTAGAGCGTGCACTTTAATTATAATATGAGACTGCTACTTCAGTTCACATTTTCCATAACGCATTTCCTAATGGCTAGCATAAATAAGTGGATTTAGACATTGGTCGGACCAATACATACCAACCGGTACATGCCAGTCTAACCAAGAACTGTTTTCAGGTCATATAGCTTCATATGAATGGATATATATTTGTTATTTCTTCAGAAGATACCGAGTGGTACAAGTTTCTACACTGTCTGATATACTATACTGTACTGGTTTGACCAATTGTCAAAATCAACATCTGATCAAGATTTAAACCACATAAATAAGTACATAAATGATGTGTATTCTATGAATACCATCCTCTTCATGCAACTACAACAAATGGTTATGGTAGAAATATTAAGACATTAAGGAAGTATACCATCATCATCTTCATCTACCCACTTATCCCAATCAACTTTCACATAGTGAGGAGCCTTTCCATCCCCACGCAGAAGTTTTTTCCACCACCCCTTCTCTGCTTTTTCTACCACACAGAAGATAGACCTGACACCAATATTTATTTTGCTTGCCTAGTAGAAGGCATTATGTAAGCGAGGATAAACATCTGGGAACAAAAAAAATGATGAATCAATTTAAAACAAAAAAAAAGAAGAAAAGCATACCTCTTTATTTACTTTGTCATACAGATCCATTTGTAGCTCATAGGTGTTATTTCCAGCACCAGCAGTGGCAGAAAAAGTGAAACTGCCATCGGGTTCAAGATTAACTTTCACATCTCTTGCATCAGGCAATTGAACAGTGATGTAAACTTTGTCAAGCCTCTGAGCCCATTTAACTTCAGGATGACGACTGAGAAAAGTAGCAAACAACTTGTCAGACAACGTTTAAACAATAAACAATCACAAAGGTGCATGAGACTTTTGAGTCAATTATAAACTAATATATAATCACCTTCAATAAGCATAGAAAAGTACTCGTTAAGACATACAGCCATGTTCACGCTAATTCATATACAAGCTTAAGCAAATATATGACCTAAGGTTTATTCATTTTATATTCAAAAACTCTGTCTCATGGGTGGTCTGGTCTAACACTTGAACTAAATGGGGAGGGAAATACACAAACAGAGACTATAATAGAGGACGACCCACATCACAACCATGTTAGATATTTAACCACTGCCAGAACATCCACATCTTAAATTAATAGATGAGAGAGTGTTTATTGACTTATATACTAGTGTAACCAATACAATGTCTTTAAAAAAAAGCCAAAATTTAAGTAAAGCATTCTTCTCTTGGTATGACTAAAAAATGAGAGAGTTTCGCCTGTCGGGAGCCAATCTTGAACAAAGAGTTCCATCAGCTGTCGATAGTCACCTTGCTGTGGCATGTAGAACTTGTTCTTGTTGATTTCAACAGTTAGACAGTAGGTACCGGAACCATTCTAGGCCAGCCTTAGCATCACTAAAGGAGATTCCAGTTTCACGTCCACTGATGGGATAAATCGATTTTTTTTCACTGCAAGATTGCAAGTCCATCACGATTTCTAGTGATATTGGCATTACGACGAGCTTACATTTATTGATTCCGGGAAAGAACAGGTTAGGTCAATAACGCCGTTAGATGATGGTAATACCATATCGTAGATGACCAACAATTATCACTAGAAGCGAACGGCGAAGTAACATGCGGACAGCAGACCAAGGCTTGAAGTCTACGATGGCGGCGGCACCGAGGCTCCCGTGCCGTGCCGAAACCAAAGCCAAGGGTGAAGAGAGACTTAGACTTGAAGAGAAAATTGCATACCTCATGACTAAATCACCCTTTCTGCAGCTTCTTCCGTCCGGCGCAAATCTCCAAGCCAACGACGATGACGCCGCCCTAATTGCGCGTCCGAAGTGAGCGAGCTCTGCGAAGGGCCGCTTCGATTCCCTGAACCTTTAACCTCGTTCGCATGCACGTGAGTCGCACGTGTTCAATCATCAAGTAAAGAGTGGACATGATCCGACGGTGGTGATTTATCTCATTCTTTTAATTCTTTTTCGAATAAGATTGGAAAACTTATTGATTTTTGTGCCCTCTAATGGTCAAAATGGGGTCAATGCTTTAATAATTGCTCTTCTGTGGAACATAGAAAAAGACAAATCTATCCTTCCCCTTTTGCAGCTGCTGCTGCTGCTGCTGGTGGTCGATGATCTCTTCTTCCTCTGTTCCTCCTCCCTCCGCCAGCAATGACCAGATCTGCTCTCGGATCGCTTCGACCCTCCCTTCCCCATGACCCAGAGGGTCGGGGAGGAAGTGGGTGGCAGGAGGAGACGGCGAGCGGCCCCCCTGCGGCGGCACAGTGCCGCTGGAGCTGCTGATCGGCGAGCGCAGGCGAGGACGGAGAAGAGGGAGCGGCCGCGCGTCCGCGTACGGCTGTTCCGCCCAGTCCAAGAAAAGGGAGGACTACTTCATCGTCAGAACCGATTGCCTTGGCGTCCCCGGCGACCCGTCGTCCTCCTCCGTTTTTGCGGTACGTCACCGTCGCCGATCCCCGTCTTTGTCGGGTTCTGATTCACCGTGCTCTTGAATTCGTTGGCCCTGTCGTTGTCATCGCTGATTAGGGTTCTTGAATCACGTTGCTTGCTGAGTTCCTTGGATAACATTCGATCAAGACATCATAGTGACTTGTTGACTAGAATTTGACTAGAATGATCCTTGTCGTTGCTGAGCGAACCAGATCAAGAAGATATATAGATCTACATCAAGAAGCCGCCTAATTAATATCTTTAATCCTTTATACCTGTATGTATCCTTTAATTGACACCGTAGATCAAAAGCATGAGAGCCCTAGAAAGGCTTTTGATTTCTAAGAACTTCTACATGAAGTAATAATGGAGCTCTTACGGTAGGCCTTAACTTGATCCTTGTTATCTAATATGTGCAAAATCCTCTCAGATTGAAGATAGTTTATCCTCTTGTTTGGAAATTGTACAACTCCATGTTGGGATTGATTTTGAAGAGCTTATCTTTAAACATCCTGTTTTTACTGATGGATACTGATTATTTTGAAGAAATCAAGCCCTGATCTTAAAATCCTTTCCTTACTTGGTTCTTCTAGTGCTGAATTGGAATGCTTTGACTATGAGAAATGCACCGGATTGTAGTTAACTTGTTCTTTATTGTCTTGGTTTATGGTAGCAAACTATTGGTTTACGGTAGGGATTTGATAAAAAGGCATATCTAGTGCACGAGGTTACCACCAATGTAGGGTCATATGATTGATTATTGGACAAACATTGGATTGGGTTAATGATATAGGAATCACTCGAGATAATAATATAAATAATTAGAAAATATAAGATATATATTTACAGAACATATCATATCAAAAGGTTCTTTTACCTTCATATTTCATTATGGTACTAATACTTCTCTAGTCACCAGAATAACTCAAACCCAAATAAAAGAAAGATCATTTAAAAAGAGCTTCCGTAGGATTTGAAATTAATAGTAAATCTCATGACACCTTTTTCTATGATAGAATTCCTATTTCTTAAAAGGTTAAGAGTTACTTCTGAACTTTCCCTTTTCTCATCCTATAAACTTTGCTGTTGGTCTCTCTTATATAGCAGTGGGTGGCAAATGTTTCAACAATAGAGCAGATTGCAAATACAATACAATAACGACAGCAACAATAAAACCGTTAGTCCCAACTATTTGGGACAATTGCAAATGCAATGATTGCAGGAAATAGTAATTTCTTCTTCTCCACTTCATAGACATATGCAAGCTTTTTTAATGTCTTTCCTCTAACAATATTTTTATTCTCCTTTCCCACCTCCCACTTTTTTCTCCTTTTATGGCTATCAAGTTGGATAGAATTGGTCGAAAATAACCAACCTCGATTAAATTCAATTGACACAGACCAATTCTGATCAATTTCTAACTATAAGACTGAGAAATCAAGAAATCATATGTGCCTTGGATGATACTGATTTGGATTGGAATCCATATCAGAAACAGACAATATTGCAAATTATATATGGTAGTTACAAATATCTATGCTAGTGCACTACATAGACTAAACTTTTCTTTGGTTCTGCTTTGAATTCATGGGTTTGATGGAGTAAAGAAATTGTTGTCTTTTGGCAATTCTGTTACGGGAACACAGAGCTGAATCCTTTTTAATAGAATTTGAACCCAGATCAAGAAGAGCATACAAAATCTTGTGAATTTGATTCTTGATTGAACTACCAATTAAACATTTGTGGATCACTGCAGAAAATATAATTCTTTGGTCTTACATTGAATGACTGCTGCTATGCTTTTAAACTAACTTCTATACACTGGTCAAATCTTCCCTGCAAATCAATTAAGAATCTTTTGACCCCTATGTTTTAGATGTCATGTCCATAGTGTTCTCCATGCATTTTGGCTCATAAGGAATGGAATATGCTGATTACTTGAGTTTTGGATATGAATGAACTTACTTTTTCTAAAACTTTCTTAAGGTCCTTGATGGGCATAATGGTATTGCAGCAGCAGTATATACAAGAGAGAACTTGTTGAATTATGTAATGATCTTCGGCAGGAAAAGTGGCTTCAAGCTCTACCTTGTGCTTTGGTTGCTGGTTTTGTTAAAACTGATAAAGAAATCCAGAGAGAAGGAATGTTTTTACTTCTTTCGTATTTGAGGCATGTTGTTAGATGCTTTTCCAACACATAGGAAGCTGGTTTAAAGAATTTGCTCCATGACTTTTATCAGATGAAACATCTGGAACCACTGTTACATTTGTGATAGTTGATGGATGGGCATCACTGTTGCTTCAGTTGGAGACTCCCGGTGCATTTTAGATGCATGGGAAAGGTTGGCTTCTGCATCGACTGTTTGATCATAGGCTAGAAGAGAATGTTGAAGAGTGAGTTCCTATATCTTGCACCATCATATATCTTTTTCCTCTATCCCATTAAATGTAATTTATGTCATGGACAGGAGGGAACCTGTTACTACCAGTGCCGGTGAACTAGGAAGGCTCAACATTGTAGGTAGTGCTGAGGTGGGTTATTGATTTAATTTTAATTATATAACAGCATCAAATACCTAAAATACGTATTTGCTATGGTAGTTGATGTTCACATTCACAGATTTTGGTCCTTTTCAGATAGGTCCCCATCCCTGTTGGCCAGGGGATTTATGCCTGTCCAGATCACCAGGGGATGTGGATGCTGGGGAATTTATTATTTCAGTACCTCATGTTAAGCAAGTTAAGGTATTCCTGTACTTTCTGTTACATATGTGGATCATAAGGATTCTTCAACATATATCTCGCCACCATCCTTTTGCTGATTTTTCTTAAATCTTTAACTACTTCCCTAGTTGTCATGAAAATCTTATTTTCTTACCAGTTATCAGATGCTGGAGGAAAACTTATAATTGCTTCAGATGGCATCTGGGATGCTTCGACTTCTGAAATGGCTGCAAACTGTTTTTGCCAAGGTTTGGCTTCAGAGCTTGCTGCCAGGCAAAGTAGTTAAGGCGATTACTACCTGAATTTGTCATTTCTGAGATCTGTTGAACCAGCATGGTTTCTTGCTCCAAGCGAAAGCGTATCTGGTCATGCTGGCTCCATCTTCTCCACCGGTTCAAAGCCATGGCAAGGTGCTGTAGCTCCCTTCTCCCTCTTTCCTCACAAACATCCTCATCGTTTTCTTATTTTCCTACTTGTTTGCTGCCATATATTTTTTTTGATGGGCTGCATGATCATTTCATTATATTTGTATTTGCACTAGGAACATGTTTAATGATATGATCGATTGTTTTGTTTTGTTGTTGGCCTAAATGTCTTTTATTTTGCCCACTTGTTTTCGTTGTTGGCTTTGAACCGAGTGAATGCCAGTTGCCAGCTTATGTACACTACATTTCTTACTGCTTCTACTTCTTCTTTAACATGATTATTTTGTTATTCCATTTTGAATGTCATCTTAATTTTCTACTCTTCGTAATTGAAATGGCAACAGTATATATTATGCATTTCTGTCAAACTTCAATAAATGTTCTTCTTGTTTGTCATTTATTGGTCACATAAGTAAAGTTAGTATTTCTCAAACTAAATTAACACGAATTATTAGATGTTTTGTTTTTTACTTCACCTCTTATCCTATATTGTGGAGAAGACACTCTTAATGAAAGAAAAAGGATCACCCGAACGAACCATGTAAAAACAACATGACAATGAACTCGATCTTCGCAACACACAACAACATAAAACCACGTCCCTCAATGCCGATTCCATCTCTTGGTAACATCGGCAATCAACAACAAGCGCCCAAGCGCAGTGGCCTCGAACTTCCTCGCAAACAGGAAGCAGGAGGAGGTAGTCGTCCTGTTGTTGTAGACGCACTTGGAGCCGCTCCTCATCCTCTCCATCAACCCCAGGGAGACATCCCTGCGCTTGTAGGTGGCCGGATGTGAGCCTCCGCGGGACCAGTCCACCCAAGTGACGCTCCTGTTGGCGTTGAGCCCCGGGGCGAGCTTGGCCACCGCCGTGGGCAGGTAGTGCTCGTCCACGTAGCACGGCGGCCGGCAGTGCTCCCGGAACACCGGGTAGTACCGCCGGTCCGACACGATCCCCACGGCCAACCCCCGCTGCACCTCGAACCACTGCGACCCCTTCCGCCACTCCGCCAAGGTGACAGTGGGGTGCATGCGCCGGCTGTACCGCCCGCGGCCGGCCTTCCCGGTGTCGTCGAAGGAGCTGACGAAACTGAGGGCGGAGCCGATGAGGTAGTTGTAGATGGTGGGGAAGTCGAATAGTGGTATGCACGACTCAGAGAGGAGGACGAAGCGCTCGTTGGAGGCGTCGAGGAGCGCGTTCGCTAGGAGCCGCCGCTCCGCGTCGACCATGCTCGGCCGCCCCCACTCCACCGGCTGTGTCGCAGAGGAACA